AGCATTAATCATATTGCTCTTAGAAAGTGAGATTTTAATAATAATTTTTGTAAAATTTTTTAATAAACTGTTTGTAAAAAGATAATTACTTTTAAAAGAATTACATCATTTAAGACAGGCCTTTACTTGCTTGCTCATGGGTCTCGAGACTACAATCGGTTGCATACAGGGTGATTCAGTCAGTATGTTATTAATTTTAACCTAGTAAAGACATTTTTTCTTTCTCGATCTTTTAAAAAATAAGCAAATTAACCTCTTAACTCCCGTTAACTCGGCGCCCTACTTCCCAGTAGGGAACAGGCCGGCCGGCGGAATACAAAGCGTTCGAACGTTGAAGCGAAACAGCTGATTTCCCAAATCGTCTTCATTTTGCAATTGGTTTCAAAATCAAAGTGCAGTGGATCCCAACTTTATTAACAAAGTGCTATAAATGGATAACTGTTTTTTTAGTCGTACTCGTATTTTAAATACCACCATACTACTCTTTGAAAAGCAGGACCACTAGTCCATGGATTATTGTTCAAAATATGAAGGTGCATGGAGATCATATTTACCACTATCTTTGCTAGAATTGATGTCTATGGAAATTTTTTAAATTCATTTTTTAAATTTTTTAAATTCTATCGCAAAATATGGAAAAAAATTTCAAAATTAAATACATAAATTATCTGTGTATAAATCAATTATACTTTTTTCATTAGTTTAACAGTAGGTATACTACTATTCGGTCAACCCTCGTATAACTCCGTCATTCCCGGGGTAGCCGCCTGCTTCGGACGTGCGCCCGGGAAATGGGCGGGGACCACCATTGATTACGGGGAAGCTTCAACAGAGAACGAGTGAGCAATTTCACGGGTCCTTGAGACGGTTTCTGGTGGTGATTTGTTAATAGTCATCACAGTCACAGTTGCATCAATTAATTTACTATCTGTCATCTGAATGTGGTGTTCTCACATATTAGTTACCAGACTATTGAAACTATTGTACGTTTAAAATACATTGGCCTCGTACTTTGAACAAGAAAAAGAAAATATTCTTGTCAAACCATTTTTTAACATATTAACTATTTCAACTGGTTTACTACTCCAGTCGGTAGAGGCCGAAAAGTTACTGTTGGTGACATTTTCTTGATAAGTCGGAAATAACTACACAGGTCTACTTTAAATGATGAGTATAATAACAGGCTAATTTGCTGACAAAGTATTTTATCAGGAAAAAAGTTATTAACAATTTAATCGTGAAAAAAATTTTTTTTAGTAGTTTTCTTTAAATAACTCAGCGGGATGACTTTGTACGAAAAAATGCTTAGGACATGATTTTGTTCGTAATAAAAATAGCTACAAAATGGCGGTGGTCCGATTACGAAATTTGCAATAACAAAGCCGTGAGATTGAAAAAACGGTATAAAACGCCAATTTTTTTAAGTTGCTGTAAAAATGTCAATTATAAACAAAAAGTGATAAAACTTTCGAAAACTATAGTTCAATATATATACAATAATGACGCTAAAGCCGAAAATCAGGAGAGCAAAACTTTTTGTTCTATAAGGTGTTATACATTCATCGGCATCTGAAACTCGAAACTTTGCCAAATTTGTTCGAAGCTTTGCTGACACTTGAAATTTGGTACACACATAGTGTAAATATGCAGAAACCAAAAGCAATTTGCAAAATTCAAGTATCTTCATTTTTGCAGTTTTGGTAAGGTTTTATACGTCACCCTAGTTTTATACGTCACCGTTTTTTTAATTTTTGGACGTATATTTATGTATATTTATAAAATATTCCATTACGGTAGATTAGCCAGCATAATTACCTACAATTTAAAAAAATATATATTTTCATCGTTTAGATCCTAAGCTACTTAACATTTTGCGCCTGTTAGCCGTAGTCGTACATTATTCAACATATTAACATAAAACAAAATCGTACGTGTGGGGTAAACCTTTAACTTTTCATTTTCGAGCGCGAGCTCCGCTCTTCGGCGCTTGTATACTATTAGAAATATGCAACAGTAAATTTAAACAATTGTTTACTTAAAGTTAAAGGTTTACCCCACACGTACGATTTTGTTTTATGTTAATATGTTGAATAATGTACGACTACGGCTAACAGGCGCAAAATGTTAAGTAGCTTAGGATCTAAACGATGAAAATATATATTTTTTTAAATTGTAGGTAATTATGCTGGCTAATCTACCGTAATGGAATATTTTATAAATATACATAAATATACGTCCAAAAATTAAAAAAACGGTGACGTATAAAACTAGGGTGACGTATAAAACCTTACCAAAACTGCAAAAATGAAGATACTTGAATTTTGCAAATTGCTTTTGGTTTCTGCATATTTACACTATGTGTGTACCAAATTTCAAGTGTCAGCAAAGCTTCGAACAAATTTGGCAAAGTTTCGAGTTTCAGATGCCGATGAATGTATAACACCTTATAGAACAAAAAGTTTTGCTCTCCTGATTTTCGGCTTTAGCGTCATTATTGTATATATATTGAACTATAGTTTTCGAAAGTTTTATCACTTTTTGTTTATAATTGACATTTTTACAGCAACTTAAAAAAATTGGCGTTTTATACCGTTTTTTCAATCTCACGGCTTTGTTATTGCAAATTTCGTAATCGGACCACCGCCATTTTGTAGCTATTTTTATTACGAACAAAATCATGTCCTAAGCATTTTTTCGTACAAAGTCATCCCGCTGAGTTATTTAAAGAAAACTACTAAAAAAATTTTTTTTCACGATTAAATTGTTAATAACTTTTTTTCCTGATAAAATACTTTGTCAGCAAATTAGTCAGTTATTGTACTCATCATTTAAAGTAGACCTGTGTAATTATTTCCGGGTTATCAAGGTTTGACACACGCCGAACCTCTACCAACTGGACTATACATCACATTGAAGATTTAGGAAAATAGAAGTTTTACTTTTGAAGATAGATATGACAATATAAAGAATATATGTACTTCAGTTTTGTCATTATTTTCGACATAGCGATAATTAGAAATTCATTTTTCTAAAACTGACGGTAGAAATATTATTTGAAATCTTAATAAATCATAAAATAGAAATTTCTACAGTCGCGTGATTTTGCAAAAAGAGACATCTATTTTTCAGTTGTAAACAAAGTCGAAATATGATATTTTCGTTACTGTTAACGATGGAACTGAAATATTTGTATAGGGTTATTGATTATAAATTTCAACACTCCTTAACTTCTTTTATTTTTTTACATATTATGTCCATTTTTGTTCTATCTATAACCTATAATTATGATTTCATTATTTATTTATTGCGATTACTGTTTTTTAGTTTTTCGTTTATTAATTCTATTTATTGAGCGTTGAAAATTTAGTGGTTTTACTTTATGAAGACTATTTTTATGGTATTCCCACAAAAATGTATTCAGAGAGCTAAATCAAGACTATTTGAAGGTCAGTGAATATTGCCAAATTTATCTATCCAAAAATTAAAGTATTATTCAGTATCGGGTTATTATTAGAAAAGCATTAAAAAGTATACTGAATGCTACTTTTATACAGTAGACAAGAAATACTCCTAATCTGTGGAGTTACCTACCTTAAAAACAAACTGCATGAAGTGGAAACACTAAATCTTCAAAATATTCATAACAAAATAACAAGAAATATAAGTAATAAATGATGACCACAAAATTATAGCAAAAGCAGTAAATAAAACACAATATTTATGCATCAGTTTGAACATTTAATCTAGGTATAAATAAAATTTCGTACATTTCATATACTTATAGGTAAATGTTTTTTTTTCGTGTTGCAAAGGAAGAAAAACGGGTGCGAGGACCTAAATATCCTGTTATGTTTCTTAGATGATTATAATATTTCTGAAATCAGCAAGAAACGTATTTTTCTCAAATCAAAAAGTATTCATTTCGGAAAAACATGTTTAGTTTGCTATGCTTGTTGAGTACATCCTGTATAAAGTTAAATATTATAGTAAAGAACTTTTTTATTTAACATTTTTTTCTAATCTTAAAAATAAAAAAATAAGAAGGTTGACATTTATAACTAACCATCCTATGGCATACTATAAAAAAATTATTTTACCATAAACAAAATTCTATCAAAAATAAAACAATTTAGTGTCTAAGTATGGGATAAAGCGAAACTATAGGACACCCGACACATTCGTAACTTTTATACTGTCGGCGTTTAAAAAAGAACTGCCGATTTAGGATAATTTAAATATTCAGTTTATTTATCTACAAAAAATTATATTATAAAACGTAAAGATGTCTACACATGACAAATATGATAATGCGCAATTTTGATCTCATATTACTTAAAACAAATAGGAGTTAAATCAAAACCCAACGTTCCAAAAACTCTGAACCCATGAAACCTTAACTCATAAACTCTAAATCCGTAAACCCATATTCCATAAACCCAGAGATTTGTAAGCCATGAATCCCATACGTCCTTAACCCATAAAACAAAAACCCATTATCTGTCACCTTTCAAACCATAAACCTATATTCCATAAACCTATAGATCTTTAACCCATCCTATATTTTTGCCCATATGCCCTTAAGCCATAAAACAAAAACCCACTATCTCTCCCCATACGCCATACCCATTAATCTTAAACCCATAAATCGTGAATCCATAAACCCACAACTTATATCTTTTATATCCATCAACTCAAAATTCATCAGTCCAAAATCCTTAAACCCATAAACCCTGGACTAGGCACCAAATGGATAAACTTCTAAGTCGGTAGACATTACTGAAAGAATGAAGACTCTTGTAGAGGTTTAGTTACATTTTGCTTTCTTAAGAAAATTTTGTACTTTAGACGAATTTTTTTACGGGATCTAAATTGGACATTATATTTCTACTTACATCCCAAATTTCCTCCAAATACAGTTTCTTTGTATCTTGCATTTTCTGCTACTGTTGCAAAGTGAAGGATATAATAAAAATAAATTGTCGATAAGTAAAATATTTATTACATTTTTACTAACAAATTTACAAGCAATTTAATAGAGACGATAGTACACTTAAAACTGTATTAAAAAAATTATGATTATCAATATTTCAAAATATAAACATTCTAGGATTATACAATAAATAAAAATTAAAACAGAAAACCTATGTACAAAAAATAAATGACTTGAAAATACAGATACAGATTAGTTCTCCAAACTTTCCCTTATACATTAGGAGATTACAATTGGTTAAATATGTGCCTGTTAACCACAAAATTTCGATTAATAACATGTTTGAAGAGTAATCTATGATATTTATTAAAAAATATATAATACAGGGCAAAAATGAGACCCCTTTAAACACCATCGTGTATGTAATTAAATTGTTTGAAAGAATTTACTAATCGTTTCTATGAGTTCACCAAGGGCGTATATGCAATTAGATTGTTCATTCTATCGGTGACAAATCTGTATAACAATTTGTTAAAGCTGTCAAAGCCAAGAGTAAATCATAAAATATAAAAATGAAGACTGTGTAAAATGTTATAACTTGAAACAATATTAATCTGAATGTGTCACAATTATACGCACCTTATTTTCTGAACTATGGAAGACAGTGTGACAATTAGTAGATTTTTTTAAAATACCTGGTCACTGTGTTACAAAATAAGCACAATATAAATTCTCTCTTAACACTGGAAGACAATAGACAATATAGTTGTACTTGTTTGGCAGTACCGTTTTTCTAAGGTATATCCGAACCCCTTTGCTCCCAGTCCTTTAAGTGACTAACAATTCTTCCCCTTGCTATATTACAGTACAAAAAAATTGCTTAAGCTTAACTGGGCCTTCGGCCCGTATTTACAATGTACATTAACAGCTAGCAGTCTTTTATGATTTCGACGTAGGTGGCTGGGAAGATTCCAACGCTGCCGCTGCACTCACCCAGCCACCAGCCGTCGTCTTGCTGGCGATAGACCGAAAGGATGTCTCCAGGTCTTAAGATGAGCTCGTCGGGCAGGTTGGGGGTGTAGGGGTAGATGGCTTTGCAGGTGGCGATGGGTTGGACCGGGCTCTCGTCTGCGCTGCACAAGTTGCCGCCGGAACTGCTGCATTGTGAAGAAAATTCGTCTGGAACAAGGAATGATTTCACAAATTTTGGCCAGTCTTAAGAAAGGGAATTTTTTATTTGCTTAGTTAATGGTATATAACGGAAAAAAGTTCACCAAATGTCATCAATGAGCCAATAACAGTGTCTGCTATACATTGCCGACCTAAATGTAGTAAAAAAAAACACTTCGATGAATTTTTTAACACAGAAAATAAATTCTTCCAGAAGGAAATTATACTGCAAAACATGGGACTCAAGAAGTACAACTACAAAAAGCAAAGAGATAATGAAAGCAATGAAGACAGGCAATATATAACCGACATCTACTGGCGAATCCAAATACTAGCTTGACCTTATAATAGAAATAAGATCCCATATACCATAGACTTCTGCATTACAAAGTCATTGATATAAAGAAATGTAAAACAGAATCGTGCTGTTCATTCACATATCTGGGATAGAGAAAAATGTAACAAAAGCCGGGACGCGTGGTATTTTATTTGTTAGTTCTCGGAACAGATGGGCCAAACAGTAAAATATTTCAATCAACACTAATTATCGAAAGTTGAGGGCTCTCAAGTGGGTGTAGCGTCGTACTTCGTAGAAATTTAACAATATTTTTTACAAGTTCACTTAAACTGTCGGGGCCATGTGTTGAGCATGTAGTATAAAGAGAAAAATCGATATTTCAAATAACGTGCAAAATGCATTCCAAAGAACGTAGGAATTCCAAGAATAAGTTGTTAGAATGTTGTCAGGAACATAATAATAGCTGGTTTTTAGACGGATTTTCCAAGCTATAAGAATAGATTAAATGAGATGGCTAATCCGTCCCTTATTGCTATGCGGAGTCACAAGAGGAAGGTATAGATGGTTGTTTGTAAGCCTAGTCACAGAATCATGTATATAAATGTAAGTCCAGTCAATTAGGTAATTATTAACATGGCATAGTTGTGCCAAAGCGTCCCGACATTCAGGGTTCCCGCCAATAAGATAAGAACAGAAACTTCTGGACCCAAGAAATGGGCGTGTCGATGCGAAGTGTCGAGTTCGGGAAAAATCTACGAGAAAAAGTCAGTTCTTCCTTAGGTTCCACATTGAGCAGTCAACTTAATTTTAGAACCTCGGGCTAATTAATTAAATTTAATAATGGATAAAGTTTTTTCCAAATTTTGCTATGAATCTCGCATTCCCTGAATCTCGGTACGCTGTCGCGTGCCAATAAATTAATTAATAATGTTGTTCGAGCCATTGTGTTGTTGTTTTGTTTGTTTGTTTTATTTATTGTTATTAAAACCCTTCCTGGGAGTTTTGGTGTTTCCTTTTGTTTCTCCAACCTCAATGTCACCCTATACAGCCAGTCACTGGATTATATTCTACGTAAGCAATGAATGATAAGTGCCTGAAATTCATTCTCTGAACATACAACATTTCTAAGTTCCCACGTATTAATTAAAGTATAACGATAATTATAAACTCCCTTTCGAGAACTAAATAGTAAACTCTTGTGAAATTCAGACTCGTTATGATACTGGTCATAATGATAGATAGATAAAGAGATATCCCCTCAGGTTACAAAAACAATGTTCCTAGATATAGAATAAAAGAAAAAATTGCAGAAACAAAACAATTGCGAAAACAATGATAATATGACAGTAAGAAACACGAAGGAACCAAATAAAGAGATTAAAGAACCAAAGGAGCTGGTTCAAGATGATCCAGAAAGTCTTACACCAACAGAAGTCACTTGCTTTGGAAAACAACAAGAAGACTCAGAAGGCACTAATGAAAAACGACAACAATACTTGGACCAGAAAGTCTAGAAATTGACTTATTATACTCGTAAATTGTTATGATCCTCAAACCAGAAGATCAATTACATATAATTGCAACTCTATAAGTCTACTTCCAATGCTGTTCAAAGTTTTTGAGAAGCTATAAGTGAAGGGGTTCGAAATAATAAAATACGAAAAAAAAATAATAATAATAATCGCAGACCATCAGTTCAGATTTCGTAACAATCATGAAACAACAGAGCAAGTCCACAGATTAGTAAACCAAATAAACAGGTACTTAAATGGTAAAAGAGCAGCCTTTCTTGACATATCTTAGGCTTTTGATAAAATGGATTACAAATCGGACTAAAAAAGCTTTTCCCACATCTCTACTACTCAATTCGTCAAATCTTATATAACAGACAGACATTTTCTAGTAAAGGCAGTGAATATACCGAATTCCAGCCCATATATTCTGGAGTTCCTCAAGGTAGCGTACTTGGGCTAATATTATATCTTACATATCTTATTATAGTCAGAATTTGTGAAGAAACATAAGTTCTATGTCAGATTATCAAATTTTCGCCTTTGTTTAATAGTTGTAAATGTCATTTTGAGTCACGAGAACTTTGATAAAATTGTTAAACCAAACTTGTTTTATTGGTAGTTCTCTGCTTTTCAAGATGAGTGGAAAGCAAAATATTATTTAAAAAAATTTATTGATTTTGAGACAATTCTTATATTACCTTTAGCTACATTTTACATATCTTTTTACCACATAAGTTTCATCAAAATAATTTAATGGTATTTGATTGATATTTATTTCGTTATTAGACTACAAGGACCTAAAGTAAAAAATCTTTGGAAGATCTTCCAAAAAGGTTATCAAAAACCAAGAGAGAAGTTTGAGGGAAATCAGTAATAGGATCTATTTTATAGTCAATGTTGTCAATATGGATTCCACAGGTTGTGCAGGAATGAGTGCAAAATTTAGAGGGCGATAAAACATAAAAATATAAGTATTTTTTATTGACTTTTTTCTATGTACCATAGATCTATTGTCTTTGGTTTTTGAGCTACCGAGGGTCAAATACAACTTTCTGGAATCAAAATTTAGCCATACCAATATTTTTCAAAAAACGTCGTATTTCATAAAAATTTGATATGAGTGAGTTTTCAAGGGTGCTAAATATGCCAGTATTCTTAGTTTTGCACAATCTGCTAGAGGTCGCTAGTCGCTAGCTACTACCTCTTCCAGTGACATTTCAAGACATAATTTTTTTGAGATTAGGTTTTTTATATTATGTACCTTGTATTACAATGTAAAATTTTATTGTACAGGGTGTGCCGAAATTCATGCAACAAAATTTGGTCATAGATTCTTAGAACAAATTTAGGGGACCCATATTTTTTATTTTTGCCAAATGGCCCCCTCTTTCGGAGTTACAGCCCACTGAAGTCCGCCCCTAAGAATAATATTTTTTTATATCTCAGAACCCTGTTGTACGAGATTCACTAAATTTGGTACACAGGGGTTTTACGACATGTGGAATCTGCTGGTGCAACGTTTTGGCGGGGAACCCCCTTAAGACAATTTTTCGTGGGCCCCCTTGTCTTTGGAGCCAAAGAAATTTTGTCGCATATTTAAATTTCTTAAAAATTATCAGTCCACTAGAAAGCCATTAAATTTAAAAACTTTTTGTCTTTTTATAATTTTTTCGTAAAACGCAATGTTTTCGAGAAAAAATATCAAAATGTGATCGAATGCATATCGTGATTCGCCATTTTCCTCAAAAACATTGCGTTTTACAAAACAAATATCAAGAGATAAAAAAGTTTCTAAATTCAATAACTTTCTAGCTAACTAATAATTAAAAAAAATCTAATTTGCGACCAAATTTTTCTGGTTTCAAAGACATGGGGGTCCGCGAAAAAGTGTCTTAAGGGGGTTTCTCGCCAAAAAGAGTAGCACTGTGAGATTCCACATGTCATAAAACCCCTGTGTACCAAACTTAGTGATTCTCGTACAACATGGTTTTGAGATATAAAAAAGACTTCTTAGGGACAGATTTCAGGGGGCTGTAACTCCGAAAGAGGGGGCCAGTTGGCAAAAAGAGAAATTACGGGTCCCCTAAATTTGTCTTAAGAATCTATGACCAAATTTTGCTGCATGAATTTCGGGACACAATGTATATATTTAAGAAAAATTTAATTCACTGTCTCTACACTGTAAAAAAATTCACTCAAATTTCACTCAATAATGTATCAATTTCTGTCCACATCCGATTAAGTGAAATTTTTACTCTATTAGGATGAGTACAAGTACTGAGTGAAACTATTGCATCAGAAATGAGTGGGTTTTACTCAAATCCAAATCCGAGTTACTGCCAACTATCAATTGAGTGACTTTTGACTATATTCTGAGTATANCCACATCTCTACTACTAAATTCGTCAAATCTTATTTAACAGACAGACATTTTATAGTAAAACAAGGCAGTGAATATACCGAATTCCAGCCCATATATTCTGGAGTTACTCAAGGTAGCGCCCTTGGGCTAATATTATATCTTACATATCTTGTTATAGTCAGAATTTGTGAAGAAACATAAGTTCTATGTCAGATTATCAAATTTTCGCCTTTGTTTAATAGTTGTAAATGTCATTTTGAGTCACGAGAACTTTGATAAAATTGTTAAACCAAACTTGTTTTATTGGTAGTTCTCTGCTTTTCAAGATGAGTGGAAAGCAAAATATTATTTAAAAAAATTTATTGATTTTGAGACAATTCTTATATTACCTTTAGCTACATTTTACATATCTTTTTACCACATAAGTTTCATCAAAATAATTTAATGGTATTTGATTGATATTTATTTCGTTATTAGACTACAAGGACCTAAAGTAAAAAATCTTTGGAAGATCTTCCAAAAAGGTTATCAAAAACCAAGAGAGAAGTTTGAGGGAAATCAGTAATAGGATCTATTTTATAGTCAATGTTGTCAATATGGATTCCACAGGTTGTGCAGGAATGAGTGCAAAATTTAGAGGGCGATAAAACATAAAAATATAAGTATTTTTTATTGACTTTTTTCTATGTACCATAGATGTATCGTCTTTGGTTTTTGAGCTACAGAGAGTCGAATACAACTTTTTGGAATCAAAATTTAGCCATACCAATATTTTTCAAAAAACGTCGTATTTCATAAAAATTTGATATGAGTGAGTTTTTAAGGGTGCTAAATATGCCAGTATTCTAAGTTTTGGACAATCTGCTAGAGGTCTCTAGTTGAGACTATCTCTTCCAGTTACATTTCAAGACATAACTTTTTTGAAGTTAGGCTTTTTATATTATGTGCCTTGTATTACAATGTAACATTTTATTGTATATACATATATTTAAGAAAAATGTAATTGACTGTCCCTACACTGTAAAAAAATTTCACCGTAATTTCGCTCAATTTTACTCAATAATGTATCAATTTCTGTTCACACCCGATTAAGTGAAATTTTTACTCTGAGTAAAACTATTGCATCAGAAATGAGTGGGTTTTACTCAAATCCAAATCCGAGTTACTGCCAACTATCAATTGAGTGACTTTTGACTATATTCTGAGTATATAAGACCAATTTTGAGTTGACTTTTTCTCTAATATGATTTAAATTTAACTTATTGAGTCATTTTTTATTCAGACTTGGTTTTTAATTAACTAAATATTGAGTGCAAAAATAAATCACTCATTAATGATTAATTAGGATATATAGTGCTGAAATTTATTCACTTCGCGGGGCCTCTTCCTGTCCTGGTTGAGACCCGCCAGCTGAGACCCGCCGCCGCCGGCTAAGGCCTGTTCTCCTGGCGATCACGCTTTTCTGAAGCACCTAACGGGCCCCTATCAACTGTGGTCGGGATTACAGAAGCAATATTATTCCCAAGCCCTTCGAATTCCGTGATATATTAAAATTTAACAATTTAAATTTCGCATTAGTGTGTAAAAAAAATCTTTACGCAGTGGACGTTTTGTACAACGTGCATGCAATTAGTACTTTACGCACGGAGGAAGAAAATATCCACTCACCAAAATCTGAGTCTGGCTGATTGGAATTGCCGTCTGCCGCACCCCTGTCTGGCCACTCGGGATCGTCGACGTCGTTAATGTGCGGATCAGAATTGTCGGATTTGTCCGACTTGAGCGACTTCTCGCTAAGTGGGCTTCTGTCTTGCTCGAACCACTCTTCCCTCAGCCACTGCGGCACCTTGAAAAACAAACACATTGACGTCAAGAATATGTCACGTGAATATGTGAACCTTTAAGTAACAGTTTTAAAATAATTCCTTAATTATTTTATTTCCTCTTATTTATACATTATTTGAGGGACAGATTTGGCTGTAGATAGGTATGACCAAATTCGGTGTGGCTTTCAATCATAAGCTTGTCGATAACTAATAGCTGATCAATATCGCGCATATTAATGTTAATTAGCACTGCCATTGATAGATCAGTATCACAATCGCAAATACAGATCTCCAAAGATATTGTGGCAATGTTTATTATAATTTCATAATTACTTTATTAGCGCTGTCTTTGTAATAATTTAAAACAACTAGATCTGTTCTTCACTAGTTCAAATTTTTTTTTTCTAGATTAGACAGGTAATAATTAAAAAGTGGTTCAAGGAGCAGTTAGGTTAATACATTTTCACCAGTTTTCTGGTTAATTTTAGACATAAGAGTACACAAACAGATCTAAATAGTTTAACATATATACAAGCGCGTAATGTTAAATTTTACGTACCATATTCGTACAGCATAGGTAAAGTTACTTTACGCACAGTTAAAAAAAATATAAATTATGCCACACTAAAATAAATTATTCGGAATATACATACATCTACAGTGTATAAGGAATAGGTGTGTACCAGTGTTTGTGTTGAACATTCTTTAACAAACATAATTTTTCTAAAAATAACCAGTTGTACTTACTTTTAAGACGCTTTGTTGTAACCCGGACTTATCCCTAGTGATAGTAATGTGCGGTGCTAGGGGATGACCAGCTCTTGGCCTGCTGTCTAGCTCTGCCAGAGCGCTTTGGACCTTGTACCTGGCACCTTCTAAATATGTTAACATCGACTTCATCTGAAACGAAAAGGCGTTTCTCTAATGTAAAGATTATGGTGTAAAGCGTAAAGTACATTAAAATAATGTACTTTACGCTTTCCAATGTACTTTACGCTTCCCAGTGTACTTTACGCTTTTCAGCGAACTTTACGCTTTCAGAGTACTTTACGTTTTTGAGAGTACTTTACGCTTTTCAGCGTACTTTAAGCTTTTCGACACGCTTCCTGAGAACGTACATTACGCATAAAGCAAAAGAACTATTTACGCATTTAAATTTATTGTACTTACGTGATACAGTTTCTCAATGACGCTCTGCTGGGAATCCTCAGAACCGAAATTCGGTGTCTGTTTTATGGCTTTCGACAAATTCTCTAAACCGTTTTTCGATTTCCTTTCCCTATCTATATCCTGCCGTATTAAGTGTAGTAACTTCACTAAAGCCTGAAATGATACGTGTTATTATTTAATTTTTAACATACAGGGTGTAATATTAAGTGGGGGGTCAGCTTTTAAAGGGTGATATCGCCCACAGTACTAATCTGAAATTATTATGTTAAATTTCCCTGTAATATAGCGTTTGTTTTGATTAATACAAAAACGAATCTAGTGTGGTTCAAATTAGTTGACTATTCCATTTATAAGAACAAATATTCACAATATAGTTGGGTAACTACGCTGGATTGTTCTAGAACTGTATACAAATGAAGAAAGATAAGATTTGACAACAATGCATGACATAGCTCCCAATTGGGTATTCGCTCGTAGCTAGCGTGCTCTTATTTGAGGTTACACTTGCCTATCCAGTGGCGAGGTATGAAAATTACAATAAGGAAAAGTAAGAAACAGTTTTCAAAACAAACTTGTTATATGACTTTCTAATTCCAATGGTCTTCGTATAAATATGACCTCCATTCAGGAATTACATCCCATGCGTGTCGGGAAAAAGCGGGGAAAGAAAAAATCCAACTTACTTGTTTCCTTCGTTCTCTGTTCATGGCCAACGTGATGTGTTCGCAGTAAAAATCTGGAAGAAGCTGTTCCGCAACTTGCTGGGAACTGAACCTCAAGTTTTGGAAGGTTGTGATGTCTTTGGTTGGTTCTGCTTGCGTTACCGGACTCTTTAGCCTTTCCGTAGCCTGGAATTTATTGAATTAAACCTTGTATTCATATCCAATATGTATAAAAACGATCAAGGTAACAAGATTTTAAAAGCCACGTTAAACACGGTACCTAACTGAAGATTCGATGAACATTTCCGGCAAACAATTTTAAAAAGATATTATCAGACCTCTCCTTATTGCTAGTACAAGGCGTACTATTATCCATCATTAAACCAAATCACCTGTTACACAATTGAATACGCTGAATTAATCTCGCACAATCTTCTAAGAATCATTCATTATTTTGATTGCCCAATACAATAAACAACATCACGTATACAAACGTAATAATGGAAAGGTTATTAATAAACAGAGATTCAATGACACTGGTGCATTGAAAAATTATTGGATCAAAAACATATCGGTGCGAATAAAAAATTTATTAGTAAAGTAATAATGGGAATACTCACTTCTATCAGTCTCGGTCCAAGGTCGTTACTATGATGGAGGTAAGAGGTGAGGACAGACTTCAGATTGTTCAACCTTTCTTCTTCCAGGGACTGGAATGTGTTCACGCCTCGTAGTACGGCAGCCTCCCACTCCAATCTAAAAAAATGATGTCTGTGAGAATTATGCAGTTTTGTCTTCATTTTAAAAAATGAACAAGCTTTGTTCGGGTGTCAAGGAATCTTTAGAGAAAATTTACGTTTTCCAAAAACTGTCAACGTTTCGTTTGCTTTAAAAATTCACCTTGGAATTTGAACTTATTGTTAGAGTAGAAAGTAATTATTATCTCCAAAATATTACTAGTACCTTGCTCTCTCTGCTCTCACGCAAAGTGTGTAGTATTCGATATCCGCTTTTTTCACTGCATCCTCAGCTTTTCGTTTCTTCCCTTCGAGCTGAAAAACATTAAAATAAAAAATGAAGTTGACTGTCTGAGTACATGTAAGAAGATAATGGTTAGAGACAACTCTACTTACAATGACTCTTTTTTTGGAGGCATATAAGATATTTTATGCATGTGTTTCCTTATTGAAATACGGGGTATTAAATTTAATATACAGTGTCGCCAATAAAGCTCGTAACATTTGGAAAAATTACTTGCTTAAAACGTGATGTCCAATAATTGGTCACGCAGTCACCCAATTTTCTGTATCAGATAAAATTGACTTTTTTGAGGATAATGCCACAAATGGCGTTTCTTATCAAAATTCCGAAAAACATCAAAGAATGAAGTATATAGTTTATTATTTAGTTTTATAATAAATTATCTATCAATTTTTAATGTAAAGAATATTTAAAAAAACATTTATAAAACTACTTACTTATTATCATAATCGAAAAGTCAGTAGTAGGCAATGAATTTATCTTTCAAACTTGTCAGTTAGTAATAAAATTATTTTACATTCACAATTGCCTTTGATTGTTGTTGAAAAAATATCAATTATTATTTTTATATTATTTATTTATGTTTTTTTACTTAATACAATATTGGCTTATTTAAAAACTACCTAGGTACTTGTTTTCTTTTTGTAGAATTAGGAGAAAAAGAAAGTAAAATTTATTTGGCCAATTGTCAAATTTGAAAGATAAAGTTTACTACTGATTTTTTGATTATTTTCTATTGAACACTGTTAAAATCTTGTGTCAGTTAACACGTTGACTGCGAGATAATCTCAATGTACTTTGTCCGTGACTGCGATAAATATCTTCGGGGATATGTAAAAAAAACTGTTTCTGTGTGCGGTACATATCCCTGGGGATATGTATTTTTTTTACATTTGACCGTCTATAAAATTAAAAATAACACAATTATTGCTATAATCTTGCATGTATCTGTAACTATACAGGGATGGCCAGAAGTACGGAATAAAATTCATATCTTTTGGATGAGTTAATTTTTTTTTAAACGCCGAAACATGTTAACTGATTTTGATTTTTTCCCATCTTTCGGTTATATAATAATTAATTTTTCTTCAACCCCCTAACCCCCAGCTACCCCTACTTTTTTTTCAAATGGAAACATAAGGCATGAGGGGGCTCGTTGAAAAGCTTATAGAAAACCGAATCCAGCCATACCAAATAAACAAGTTTTATTTTTTCAATAGCAAGGTTTTTAGGGTTGTATAAAACACCTACTTAACAAGTGAAATAAAATTTAATTATCTTCAGTGTTATCCTCCATGAATTTGCACAGAATAAAATAAAGAATTTGAAACTGTACCTATCACTGCTAACGCAAAAAAGATATATTTTTTATGTTGCGTTTTTTTGGCACCACTTACTTGCCAGGCTTTCTGGTTAATTTTTCGCTTTAGTTGTAAATTGGAGTTCGAAACGTTACTATTGTGTCAAAATCAAGTTATTTACTGAATTGCAATGGTATTGTCGGAAAGGCAACGCATCGAAATCTTGATATTGCTTGGATGTGGAGACAAAATAAGAAGTCAGGCTGAAGTGCGCGATTTATTTAATGCGAAATATCCCGAAAACCAAATCTCGCAAGGGACAGTTAGTAAAATATTTCACAAATTTGAGGAACACGGTACAGTACAGACTTTGCCCAAAACTGGACGGGCACGTGCTTTGAATGAAGAAAAGAAATTAGACATTGCATTAGAACTTGTTGAAAATCCTCATACTTCAACTGTTTCATTGGCCCGCAATCACGATGCTTCTCGAACTGCAATTCGAATGTTTCTGAAACAAGAGAAATACCACCCCTATAAGGTATGTCTTGTCCAAGAGCTTTTGGAAGACGATTATGATAGGCGATTACAATTTTGTGAGGAAATGATGAGACGGTGTGACGACAATAATGGTTTTCAACGAGACGTACTTTTTTCGGATGAAGCTACGTTTTATTTAAATGGAGTGGTTAACAGGCACAACTATCGCTTTTGGTCCCAGGAAAATCCACACTGGACATGCGAATCGCATACGCAGCATCCACAAAAAGTTAATGTATGGGCAGGTATCATCAACAACAGAATCTTGGGCCCATTCTTTTTTGAAGAAAATCTTACTGCCGCACGCTACCTGGATTTCCTAACATTTGACCTGATACCTGCTCTAGCTGTGATTTTCCCTCATGAAATTGATCCAGATATACCGAATGAAAGAATTTGGTTCCAACAAGATGGCGCTCCCCCACATTTTGGTATTGATGTTCGAAGATACTTAGATGAAATGTTTCCAAATCGCTGGATTGGTAGACGGGGTACAGTTGAATGGCCGCCAAGATCCCCCGACTTAACACCCCTGGATTATTTTCTTTGGGGATATTTGAAAGAAAGAGTCTACCAGGACAGACCGGATAATATTGAGAATTTAAAGAACAAGATTAGGGCGGAGATGCATAATTTACCAGCTGAAGTCATTCAGAATGCTGTGGACAGCTTTTACTATCGTCTTAGAGATTGCCAAATAGTGAATGGAGGACATTTTCAGCATTTGCGACATTGAGTTTATTTTTGTAAATTATCTAGATGTTTCAATTTCTAAATGAAAAAAAAACTTGCTATTGAAAAAATAAAACTTGTTTATTTGGTATGGTTGGATTCGGTTTTCTATAAGTTTTTCAACGAGCTCCCTCATGCCATATGTTTCCATTTGAAAAAAAAAGTAGGGGTAGCTGGGGGTTAGGGGGTTGAGGAAAAATTAATTATTATATAACCGAAAGATGGGAAAAAATCAAAATCAGTTAACGTGTTTCGGCGTTTTAAAAAAATTTACTCATTCAAAAGATATGAATTTTATTCCGTACTTCTGGCCATCCCTGTATATCCTAGGATATTAACATTTTCATTCGCAAAGAGTTTTGAAAAGAAAAAAATAGTAAAATCATTATTTCTGGTTTGTGTATTATTTTGTACGATTTTTTTTTGATAACTGGACACAATAAACTAGAAATAAGGAGTACTTCATATAAAGAATCGAACATAACCTCCGTGCAACAACACCCACCTTCGGTGGTTCGTGATATTGCTCACTATCGAATAAATACATATCCCAGGAGATATGTGCCGTATATTAGTTATATTATATTACTTCTATGCGATACATATCTCCCGGGATATGCATATTGACAGCAAGGCTAATATGTAAAAATTGGAAGCCTCATTCAAAAGCTATTTGATTCTTTGAAATCGGCCAAAAACTACAGATTCTGCAACTTCCACAAGATACAGTAAAAATGTGATTATTGAGATTCGCATATTTCTTATAATGAGTACATACGCCCCGAGGTATGTACCGTAGTCAACGTGTTAATACGGTTTTTCTTGAAAACCATAACGTTTTTTAAAATTTAACACGAGTAAAAAAAATGTTACATAAAAATTCAGCTGTGAACTAATATTATTATTTTTTCAATTCGGTCAATGAAAAAAAAGTTCAGTACAATTTTAGGGGTAGGTCATCCCCAATGAACACCTTGTTGTGCTGCAATTAATTTCCCTACATGCACCTGCCCTGTGTCGGTTCTTATGCGGGACACCCGGCATATCGTTAAATGAAAAATGTACTAGTTTAAAAACAATGCAAACAAATAAAATTTTCCGAAAACTGTTTAGTGAGTACAGAATTGAATAAAAAATCATCAAAATTATTATGGCATTTTCCGAAACTTTAAGAAATAATATTACATTTGTCTTTTCTTATATAAAATATCAAATTTGTCATTTATCATTACTTTTTAACGATTGGCAATGTAAAATTTAAATAATCAATTTTCCACATTAAGGTAATACCTACGTTGCTTAAACTGTTACAATAGGACAATAAAAATTATAAATATCTTAAATATTAATGATAAATTGGTAATTAATCAAATCTAAGGGTGTCTATCCTATGCCTTCTTGATCCTAACAGCTTGAAAACTCAAATTTTCTGGGAAAGCGTCAGTCTGGACTTCCCAATACATAAACTAGAATCTGTTAAAAAATGCATCCCGTCACACTGTAGATAAATCCGGCAAACGGAAAAGTTACATAAGCATCTCTAATTGTTGCAGATGCGCAAATACCGTGGAAGATCCACATGCTGCGTACAAAAGGCAAACACAGCAAGAAATTCGCGTATTAAAATGTACACACCAATAAATAATAATCCCGTCGTAGGGTATTTGCTTTGAGAATGGCGGCGTGGAAAATTCGTGAACGCAATAAATCGCGGGCGTGCATTCGCCAAGCGTTCAACTTTTACTCACCTTCGCGTTTTCCTTATCTGAGGAATTCTGCTTGCTGTGAATGTGCGCCAGGTGGATAAGGCTAGTGCTCTTCGATATCCTGAAATGAGTAAAGCAACTGATAACACTAGATAACTTTAATAAGTAAATGATTTGTCGAAAAAAAAAGTGGGTAGCGTAATGTTTTACACGATTGAGCAGGAAATATGCGAAATATTCCCTTCTGCAGTAATTGAGTTGGTTTGTTGAGAAATCAAAATTAGCCATCTTCAAATCCAAATGATAATTTTAAGATGTTACTGTTGGTATACCAAGTCATCAGTCTTGTAAACCAATTTTTAAAGAACTGAAGATTTTACAATACCTTTATTTGACATATACAGTGTCCCCCTAAAGTCGTGCACAAATTCATTATTAGGTAAACAAAAGAAATGATTAAAAATCCCGAAACAGGTCGATTTTTGAATTTAATTTACTATTTTTTCAAATAATAATTTAATATACAGGTGGGGAATACCCCACTTTTTTCCAATTTTCGGATTGTTCTAACTGAGCTGATTCCAAAAATATACAAGTTGCTTCTAATTGTTACAGGGAGGACAACAATACCCAAATTATTTACAAATACTAAATTTATTTACAAATAAATAAACGTACTAAAATTTGAATCAAATCACCACATATCATTTTAAAATGTCTTTATTTTTTGCTATAATTTCTTTGATGCTTTTTTAATTTTATCTGCCTGATAGAACGTGCTCGTGTATTTCTTGCAGGCAATCATTTTTAAATAGTTTGTTAAGATTGTACAAGTAAATCCATTTTGAATGATTNTTTAAGTTTAACATTCCTCAAGACAATTTGAGCGCCCGGTATTAAACAATATAAATTTGTATATTATCGTAGAGCGACGAGCGGTGTCCGGATACAGAGAAGTTGATTGGCTTGAACTCCAGTCAGCCGACAATAATTTTTTTTATAATTAACATAGTTATATTATACTTGTATTTATATTTATAACAAATATATAAACAATTACTGCTTTTATTAATAAACAAAGACTGTAAAAATAAAATGAATAAAGAAATATTGATTCTACAGTAACTTGTTACTGCTTTTTTTATTGTTTGTTGAAAACTTCAATTATAGTTTTATCATCTTCTGAAGAAGGGGAAATTTGGAGCTAGTAATATTAAATTTAATTTTTTAATTTTTTATTAAAATATAAATAGCACGCAATAAGTCCTGAAAATTTCATTAAGATGTCACTAATGGTTTTTAAACAATTAATTTTTTAATTTAAAATCCCGAGAATGTTTATTGCAAAAAAAAATTGTTGTTAAAATGAAAATTTTGAAAAACAGTTTTAGGTTATTATTGTTGGTAAATAATGGAGGGCTTCATCTATGCATTTAATATTTTATAGAGATGTTAAACCAATATAATATTTTTTTTTAAATGGCCTCTTGAGACTTTCTCTCCTGTTTTTCAAACATCCCACATAAAACCAAACAAACTGTACATTGGCTGCAAGTTTTTAAGTGAATGATACCCACCGTCCATCTCAGGTGGATCACCGGATCACCTTGCACACATGTTATGAAATTTAAAGTGAAACTAGCCGATTGTAGACAGTCGGTCGTTTTAAATGTCAATATCAGCGGCGTATGTGAAGCTATTATAAGTCAAAGATCAGAAAAAATATGTAAACGACTGCAGTAGAAGCCGGTGTGTAGGCGAGACAAGAAATAGATATTTCATTTATGGTAATTGCCAGCGATGAGGGTTATATTGTGTAGGATCTTGCAAACAGTTCAAATCTTGACTTTTGCTTCTGTTACCACATGACCTCCAATATATTTTTTAAGATGCTATATAATTTTGTATTTGAGGTTATAAAATTATTTTTCTTTCATATTTGGTAGGTATTTAATTCATAAATATTATTATTACATTTTTTATTCATCCTGTATAAAAGATCGGCGCCGAGATGGTAATATTCTTTTATCAGAAAATAAATTAGTCAGAAATTAATATACAAGCACCGTAAAAGTTCCGTAAATCATCAAAATTTAATAGCTATAAAAATGGTACAACTTATTTATGGAAATGAAAAATTAATGGAATATTTAGACGAAAAAATGTATATAGATACCACCATTTTTTTTATCAAAGATATTTTTTATAAATAAAATCTATAAATTGAAATTTTAAAAGCATTAGACATGTGCATATTAAAGAAGCAGATAGGTATTTGACAAAAAAAACACATAATGAGTTAACAAGCAAAGTGATATTTGATAATTTGGAAGCAAATATGCTCCTACCATTATTTTTGGACCAGGTGAACTGATTTTACAATTATCTCATTACTATTGGAATTCCTTTAAGTGAAAACAACTTACATTTTTTACGACCATAGTATGATTATTTTTTTAGTTGCTATAATTATAAAACTATTTAGTGAGCGATTAATCAGTTAATAATACCACATTATTTGGAAATAGGATTATTTTCTTAGTATTCAAGTTTTAACTATATCTACAGAGTGAATATAGATTAATTTCAACACTGCATAGTTTAATATTGAGACTAAAAAAGATAAAGCAAGTTAATTTGTTGTTAATTAATTGTTAATTAATTAAAACTATATCACTGTGATAGTAAGGAATAAGGAAACGTACTGTTCAAATCTGAACAATATACATTTAAAAACTCCTTTTTAGGCTTGTATCTAGGTAGGTAACAGGAGATTTCGAATATTTTATTCTTATATATTTTGCACATCTCGAAAGGTAAAGGGAGATTATAGGGAGGACAGTCTTGGACAAAAAAAGGATTCCAAACTAAAACATTTAGGAGTTTACACTATAAAACTAAGAAGTAATCTCACGTTTTACAAAGGATTGTCAGAAGCTTACAATGGAATTGTCTAAAGCTATACGAAACGACAAGAACTTCTGAAGTTATTTTTTTGAAAGGTACGCTAATACGAATACGAAGACTTCGTGTACCAAATATGCCTTGTTTTTCAAATATGGGCCTCTCAATGATCTGTCGTCGTTAGTAACATTGCTTTTGTTGTTGCATTCTCGGTATAATACAAGCACCATTCAAAATAAATCAGCAGCGCGGGGAATCTATTTTCAACGATATCGAGGTCACTTCCGGGAAAATCAGAACTAATCTATTGTTAGCGTAACTACTAAATATCACAGTTTAAATCCAAGAATCAAGGAACATTTTATCAACGGATATCAAAGGGATTTGGACGTTTTTCTGCACTTACGTTTGTTTTCCATATTTTGTGGTGTCTAGGACGGCGGCGTCTTGTAATTTTTCATTCTCGCGAGCGCATGCGTGGCTGTTCTTCTTTCCCTTGGCTTCAGTGGCCCTCCAGTCTCCCAGGAGTCTTGCTGCTTTGTCGACAGCCGTTTCTGACTGCTTCCTCACTCTGTAAAATAATTCAGTACATCATATAAGGACGAAAAAATGGATTTTCAACAACCATAATTAGCTTGTCAAACTCACTATTTAAAAATTTTTAAAAAGTTCTAATAAATACAGGCATGACAATGCGTCCGAAGGGTTGATGAGGATGGTTTTTATTCAATAAACTTGTGAGAATAAATAAATGAAATTTTACAGGAAAATTTAATTTGCAAATAGAGATGACGAGATGGAGTAAAAACTGCTGCAGCTTCATGTGCATAATTTTTCCATGTTTTACGAAATTTTACGTTTTTTTCTTACTAAAGAAAGGTGTTCTTGTTAGATTTCAATACGATGTATTCTTTTCGAATAAAATGGATATTTGGCAGGCTAATTATGGAACATCTTTTATATCTAAGCTTTTCACATTATTTTATAGACATAAGTCAACTTAGATAAATAATTTACCTAAAGGAGAAAGTATACTTTAATAACAAACTTCATTATTTGAAATCCTATAATTATTGATGAAGCATTGTAGTTTGTATTTTGTTTCTTATATTTTTTTTCTACTTGCATCTAATTACTGAATATTTTAAAAACAAATTGTTGTTTAACTGTAAATCAATGAAGCCATCGTCTGACAAAATATTAATTAATCTGTTCTTATATACAAGATGTTCCAGGAACTAATGCCAAAATTTTAACCACGCATTTAACTCAAAACACAAACACAAAACACTAATTTTTATCTAATAACTTTTTTTTTCGGCAACCACTTAGTTTTTTAAATAATACGATTTTTAAAATTTTAAAATTTTTGTTACTCGCCACTGAATCATAAGTTCAAGCAAGCGCTTCGTTGAATTGATAATAAGCAAAAAGAAGAACAAAAATGTGAACCAATCAGAATTTAGGCTAGCAAAAAAATTTTAAGATAACAATGGTTCCGTAAAATATTCACATACGTTGCTTAGGTATTTCTTTAATCCACAGTCAGCTCGTTAGAGATATTTTGATGAGTACAAAATACCAGACAAAGATGTCNAATTCTTTAATCCATGGTCAGCTCGTTAGGGTTATTTTAATGGGTACAAAATATCAGACAATTATCAATTATGAAAAAAAATATATAAAATAAAAAAAATAAAAAGTTTGACGTTTATTTCTGAGTCACCTTGTATAATAATATAAATATTAATACTAGATTTGTTAGCTGTTACATGTTATTTTTAAAATGTATTCTTTTGTAGAAATTATAGTAAATCGTCATGTAATTTGAAGAATTTTGAGGAAAGTACATGAATAAAAAAACATGCTGTTATAACTGTAATAAATGCCGGAAATAACAGTGAAGAAAATCCTCAAAATGTAGGTTAGCGCGAAATCACGTATATTTAATTATAACGTAACACACGTTCAGTTACGTAAATTCTGTAAATTAATAATTTTATAATGATACGTCATTACCCGGGTTAGTGATGATATTTTAATAGATGCAATTAAAATTACGTATCTACACAAATTACATACAGGGTGCTTCAAATTACGTAAGCATATTACTAATTTTGTAGAAATACAATCGAAGAAAAATTGAAAATAACGTTTATGAAATATTTGCTAGAATATTTTTTTAAATGAGATGTTCTGTATAATATAGAAGGTCCTACGGATATTTCAATTGGTTTTTTTTTTTCGTTTAACCTATATTAATTAGTAGAGAAGTTGCTACTTCTTCAGCAATTTAACAGACAATCTCTAATAAGTTGGTAACACTGACGTCTTAACTGAAAGTCCTGTATTTATACTCAAAAAATGTCCATTTATAATTAGAAGAAATTAGAGAAGGTGCGGGAAGTTTTGAAAACGTTATTATTTCATTACTATGCATAGGTTGCCGCGGATTTGTTTGACAAATTATCTGTCATTTTATGCCATTTAGTAATCATGGAACAGTGGTCCGGCAAACAACGTTCTTTTGTGATTAAATCTTACTACAAAAATAGTGATTGTGTGGTCGCAGCACAGCGGCAATTTCGAATTAGTTTCAACATTGCTCGTCACGGGAGAGTACCATCTGCCCATGCCATAAAGGAGTGGGTTCGTAAATTTGAAGACACTGGATCAGCTGACAATGTCAAACATAAGGGACCAAACAGAAGTGTCAGAAATCTTGAACACATTAGCAGTTTTCTTTTACTCATGATTTCGGAATCATAACGCGTTACGATCCGAAATCTAGCAATCTGATTGGTTTCCATCTGATCGTAACACGTTATGATTCCGAAATTATGAGTAAAAGAAAATGGCTAGTGATTGCGTTAGAGCATCTGTAGACCGCAGTCCAAAACGTTCAAGTCGAAAACAAAGTCGGGCCTTGGGCTTATCTAGGACCACTTTTTTAGAATTTTACACAATGATCTCAATTTTCATCCTTACAAAATCCAGATTGTCCAAGCATTGAAACCAACAGATCTTCCTGTTCGCCAACATTTTGCTGAAACGATACTGCAGCATGAACTAGAAGTTCACAATTTATGGATGTCTGATGAAGCACATTTCCATTTATCTGGCTATACCAATAAACTAAACAGCCGTTATTGGGCTTTGGAAAATACACAAGAACTTCATCAACAGCCGTTACACAGCCCCAAGGTAACAGTATGGTGCGCAATATCTTCAATGGGAATCACAGGTCCCCATTTTTTGAGGATCACAATGAAAATGCTGCACACTATACTGACATGATTACCTAACCAGTTCCTTACACAGCAACTGAACATGTTTCTACAGAACAATAGCTGGTTCCAGCAAGATGGCGTTACTTCACATACCGCAAGAGCATCAATGGATTCCGTGCGCAGATTGTTTCCAGGTCGTGTTATCTCCAGACACGGAGACATTGAGTGGCCCCCAAGATCGCCAGATCTTATGGCATGCGACTACTTTTTGTGGGACTATCTAAAAAGCAAGGTGTTCATTGACAAACCACGGGATATTCGGGAGCTGAAAATGAAAATTCGGGAAGAAATTGCTAATATTCCGTTGGATATGTTGCGTCGTGTTATGCAGAATTTCAACTTTCGGCTTCAAGAGTGTATGGAGAGAGCCATTTATCAGGCATATTTTTTAAGAAACAAAAATGGCACACAATTATCTTGTTATTGCTATACTTTGTTTTAATTAAATACAGTTACTTTCGGAAATACGTCGTTTTCAAAACTTCCCGCTCCCGTGGTCCACCTAATGTAAGGATAACATTTCAGACACTCCATATCTATTCTCACTATCATAGTTGTCTTTATTTTACATGAAAAAAAAGTTGGTACAAATATTTTTACTGTAGGTAGATAGGTACACTCAAGGTGTAGACATAAGTACATTAATTTTTTAAAAACAACAGAACAGTTGGAAACGCTCAGTGTATGTTAATTTTATAGAATTCTATAGATTAGAGCTATCCGAATTTATCGTTACGCATTCTTTGGATTTTATATGCATCAGTGGGCTGTAGGAATTTGCATACATTGGTACACTCGTTAAATAAATTTAAATTATAGAGGTAAGTAGGTATATCGGAACAAGTCTAGAGGATTTTGTTTTTATAATCCTTTAAGTCAGTCAAAAATATAAAGACACTACTCTAAATACGTATGTAAGTAATTATTATAACGAGCATTTTTTTAATAAAATTTTAAATGGTTTATATTATATAGGGTCTTGTAAGTTAAAATACACTGAAATCTTGGAGGAATAAATTGCTCACTGCAAGTTACATTTTAAACTAATATCGTACCATTTTCTTGAAAAAAGAAATACCAGTTATAATTTTTTGATAAATATTCAAAAAAACAGAAACAGAATTAGATATTAGTGTTTTATATAAAAGAGTCAATATTTATTAATTCATTCCAAACAGACAAGTTGTCTAATTACATGGAAAATCATAACATTTAATAACATTATTACAAATAATGTGCATGGTAACAACAGTAGCATGAGAACTGCAGCAATTTACATCAATTAAACAAATTAATAATAATGAAAATATAAAGAGAAGAATATAAAATTTATTTCCAAAAATATGATGCAGGGAAAAAACATTGCCTTAAACCAAGAATTCATACATCTGTATACAATATTATAATCTTGAATTAAGCAATGTTTCTTCCTTTAAGATTTATTTATTTAAATTTAATTTGAGAGGCATATTATTTAGGTAGTTCAAGGATTTAATAAGCATTTATACCCAAATTAATTATTCATTTCGATGTATATAAACTTAAAACCTTCAAGCAGTATTCCTTTATTTCAGTAAATAAATCTCGATGGAAGAAATATGCTATATTTTACTACAAATATACGCAAATAAGATATGCCAGATAATATTTTTGTGTGTTCTTAAATAGTGATATATCGAAGTAAATCATCTTTCTCTGAATGGTACACCTGTCACATTATTATTATTGTAATCTAGGAATTATTTTAAAAAGTTCTCTGAAACTAGTTTTTCATATACAGTGTTTCTGATGTATATAAAAAAATTCAGAACTGCATTCCTTGGAAAATTTTAAGGGAGGTCTTTTATACAAACTTTTTTAATTGGAGTCTTCCCTAAAAAGTTGCAGTCCATAAAGGGGGGGTGGTGAAAACTATTTTTTTCAATTTTTCTCAAAACGTGTTGAGCAAACNGAACACACTTATGCAACGCCCTGTATATATCCCGAGTACAATAAATATCTTACTTTACTTTTACATTAGATGTAAATCTCATTTTATTAAAATTATCATTTTTATTAAACATGCATTGTTTATTGACGTTAAAATTCGCTTACCTGTGTTGACTTTCCGTGAGGTTCCTCAGTGGCTTGGCTGTCTCCTCGAGTAGCGCCATCCCCATCAGCCTGTGCCCTTCAGCCCTCGCCTCCAGCTCCAAGGCGACGGCCTTCCAAGCCTCGTTGAGACCGCCGATCCCATCTCGACACGCCCTCGAAAGCTTGGCACTAAGCTTCGAGAGGCTTTTGGCGTACTGTGTCTCAGCTTCAGCCCTGAAAAAAAAACAAGCGCCTCTGTAGAAATATTGAAATTTCCTTTTTGTTACATTCATTACACATATATTTTCGTTTTTATTATTTATTATATAACCCTCCCCTCGCTAACTTTTCAGAATTAAGACCTATCAATAGAAGACTCAGGTAAAAGTTGCAGCATATCAAGAAAGATCTTGGAATTAAGTTTACCTTAAGTTTCAAGGTCAACGCAAGGTCACCTTGAAAATTGTCGAATAATTAAAAACGTTTTAAACAAAATTTGGAGCAATTTGAATAAATATTGGATGGTGACTTTTATATGTATTATTTTTTATCAACCTTCTTGACCTTCAAATAATCTGCAAGGGCATCCTGGAAAAATTCTTTCATCCCAAATTACGACATAAAATTTGACGCAGATTGATTGGTGGCATAAACAACAGAGCATTGCATTTGATATTAAGTTGACCTTAGTTTGAACTTGAAATTTGTGGTGAGTGTCAAATCCAAGATCATCGTCTAATGAGTCACAAACATACAAATTTGACATGAAACATTTTAATTACGATTCCACTGTTTTGCAATCTTGATTAATTATCCAATTCAAGGTTTTAGTGGGATAAAGATCAATATATAAAAAAAAACTATATTTTAAATCATTGCCAACGTTTCGGTGTTATTTTACATCATCCTCAGGGCTCGAAATTTGAAGTGTCTTTTGTCCAACTTAACAGTTCTAAATATTAAGAAGATGGTATCTAGATCAGAATTATTCTGCTGAACAGTACCTAAGACGTTACAACAATTTTTACTGTGAAAGAAAACCGCATTGAAATTGTTCCATGAATTATAAGTACACATATAAGTATCTAGATACCATGTTCTTTTATTTATTGATCTTTATCTCACTAAAACCTTGACTTGGATGAAACATTTTTCTCCACAATTTGATCTTGTCGAATTATGTAGAGAAAAATGTAGTTGTCCTTCAAATGATCTGCAAGGACATATCGGAAAAATTTTCTAAACCCATATTCGGACGTGGAATTTGCCGCTCTAACGATTACTGACATAAAAAATACAACGCTCCGTTTAATATTTTCAAACTTCAATTTGGTTGACCTTGAAGCTTAAGGTCACAGTTAGATCCACCAGTATATTGGTTGTTGATATTCTACAATTTTTATCTGAAGAATTTTGAAGTGTTATTGAAGGTTTGGGTCGTTCTGGGACATTGTTATATTCTAGTGAATGTATACACTTCAGTGTCAAACTAGTAGACAGTAGGCTCGCAAGTAAATCAAAACACAATTTTTAATAATTTAAATTAAGTACACATATCGGAAATGAATGCTTGTTTTTGGTAATGGTTTACATTTGTTCGTGTCGCGATGAGCGGGAGATTACCATAGAAATATGGAATTTGGTGCGATAATTGTCGTGGAAAAGCGCCATTTTTAGAATACTCTAAAATGAAACGCCCATGGAACCGCAATTCCGCGTACCCGTTTCAAGGATCTACATGCTGAGACTGAACCTACTATTTTGGCACTGGAGTATAAGGTGTATAAAGATTAGATACATCTGTATTGAAAATGCTTACCTCTCTTGTAGTATCGTTGAAAGTTCCTTACAAAAATCACCTCCTTGCTTGACGTACCTCCGTAAGTCTTCGAATCCGTTTTGTCCCTGCAAAGAAACGACGCGTTATTTCAGCGACTACATAATCGTTACATAAACTTTAATAATTAATACGTGCGGTTATCGTTAACGTAATCTTAATTGTTGCGGTGGGTATATGCGGATACGCGTACGAAAATGATCTGTGGAGCTAAATGGGAGAGATTCGAGATAAAAACGAGACACAGCTGGGAATGAAAACAGCTGAATAACGTGTTAGAATGTGTGCAGTTCAAGATTGTGGAATCCAGAGAAATATTAAGCTTTATGGACGAGATTTTTTGCACTGACTTTTCCACTGGCTTTTATACTTCTTGTTTACTATCACACATTACATATATAGTCGTATATTTTTTTAATTATTCTATAAAATGTTACTTCAGGGTCAAGACTTGTTAAGCAATAAACAATATTGACACAAAATAACACTAACGTATTAGTTTAATAAAAATAAACCAGTTACAAATACATTTTGAAGGAATTTACAGAAATTAATGAAATTACATGTTTCGTATTATATGAGAATTATGAAAAATATTTTAATGTGGTTTTTAGACAATAATTGTTACATTTAAAACAATGATCTAAAGAATTGTTTATTAATGCATTGAGAATAGTGATATTTATCGTTATTATTCGAATAATTCATGTTGTTCCACTTATAATTGATGTACAGCATGGATATATGAAAAATAAATCCACTGTTACTAATTTAATGTGTTACTCAAACTGTAATTAAAGTGACTGATAACAGTGGTCAACTAAACGCTGTTTTTATGGATTTTACTAAGGTATTAAAGTTAATCACAAAACTGTTAAATCTAATCATGAAATACTGCTGAAAAACTTTTGTGACCTCGGTATTTAAAGTGATTTACTACAATTATGTGTATCATATCTAAAAAATCGACAACAGTATGTCGTATACAGAGGCGAAGAAACTTCCAACTTTTTTTATATTATCAGGAGTACCACAGGGATACAATTTGGGACCTTTATTATCTTATGTATGGTAATTGACTTGCCAGATTCTCAGCATCAGCTAGTTGCAGATAATTTTAAAGTTTATAAAAGAATTGAAGTATGGTTTGGTTGTTACTTTTTACTAAAAGGCCAAGATAGTACATTTCAATGGTCACAACAAAATTGATTATCTTTTAATGTGGTTAAATGTTTTTCCATTACCTATGTTTTCTAGTAAAATTGATAATGTCATATTTAATTATAATATAAGTTATTCTCTGTTAATAACAATGTTGAAGACCTTAGTATATTCTTGGGTTCTGAATTAAACTTTAATAGCTATATAAATGTGAGCTTTTCGTATGTTAGGATTTGTAATAGAAAATTGTGTTATATACGTTCGTACAAAGAAAAACATTAATTTGTTGATTTACTACTTATGTCAGAAGCATTTTAGAATACGCATTTATTATTTGAACCTCTCTATGAAACGAAAAATGACAAAAGAATCTGGCATATTTATATTATAAAAAAATGTATGATATTTACTAGGAGTAGAGCGTAATTTTTTAATAAGCAAATTAAACACTTTATTATCAAATTAAGTGTACAACAAAAACATAACTGAGGGTTATTTGAAATATAAAATATAAGCAACCCTGAATATGATTGTAGATTATTTTCGTTGTTTTTGCTGATTATTCAAAAATGGCTACTCCAATAAAAAAACGTGAGATAACATTTTCTGTTTAGAATTTGAAGGTTTGTCAAATTATATTAAAAAAGTATGGTGTTGGCATTTAAAATAATACTGTTTTAGTAGCTACTGCAGAGATCTGGCAACACCGAAAAGAATTATTTGTAAATTTTTCTTAATCAAGTTATTTCCTACAACTTTGCATTTGGAAGTACTAGTTTATCACTTCAAATAAAAAAGTTGGCCTATGTCAGGTTTTAAAAAAATAGCACTGTATAGAATGTCGAGATTTTCTTCAAGTAAAATAATATGGAAGATGTAGTTGTAAAACTTTAATACATTCTGTTTTTTTTAAGAAAATTAAACTCGTTTTACGGTGACTTTAGATATTTGTATGAATAAATAAAATGTTTTTTTTTTATTTCCCTGAACCTAAATTAATTAATTTACAAGATATATTAATAATTCAATGGGTAAATAGATGCGACTGGGACAATTTAGTTTGTCCTTGAATAAATGTACATTCTCTCCTAGGTCATTAACTTCTAATTAAATAAATAATTTAAACAAATCTAAATATCTCTAAATAAATTAAGAGAGGTTAAATAGTTACGTATTTCGAAAAAGTGAAAACATTTAAATATTAAGTCGTGCCTACTTATTTAAAACTGTAATATTTCATTCTCCACATTTCAGTCATTATTATTACCTTCTTCAGTGAAGCGTTTAAATTTCCACTAACATAATGTTAAGTTGACTTGGCACATAAAAACAAAATAAAATTTATGAAATTGCAGAATTTTCAAAGCGAAAAAAATTACATCTCGAGTCGGAAACACTATTTATTTTACTTTCTTACTTTCTTTACTTGCTTCAATACTTTCTTCATTGCAGTTACATTTGTTATTTATTTTTTTTTAATATTTTTTATATTTGTACAAAAAATATACCGCTGAAACTAAATTAATATATTTATAATAAGGTTCATGCAAATTTAATTAGTGAGTATCTAAATAAATAAATTTGGCACTTTTACTAAAAGTAAAAACATTTTTAACATTAGAGGTGCAAAAATTAAAAATACAGAATAATGTTACTAAACCTTTCCATGCAATACTTTTACTAACCATTTCCACACTGTATACTGTAGGTATAAAGGTAAAGCACAGGTGCTGAACTTTGATATTCTCCTTACTCTCTGAACTAAACAATTTATATATTCTGGCATAAACAAGTAAACTCAACTGACTCGCGATAAATATTTATCTACTCTGGTTCAAACGTAAACTAGGGAACTGTTTAAAGAACCACTTAAAAATTTTATGAAGATATAACTCTGTTCGTAATAGCAACCGACAGCTATTGGGATGATTATCGCGATAAATAGAGCAAAACTACATATACGGTTTAAATATCGCCTCTGTAGTTAGAAAACTGGATAAGTGAGAACAGATGTTTGGTAATAAAGGGTATTTTGTTACAGCAGAAGATTTAGCATCACTTAAGTGAGCACCACGCTGCTAGGCATCAAGTGTGCCGCGATGGTTCTTGGTGCGACCACCCGATAGTTTACGATGGATCATTAAAATGCTATTATAAATTTAATAAGCAGTTAGATGGAACGACCAACTACGATCTTATAGGGAGGGCAAATGTGCAATACATATAGTACTGGGTGTTAGCTTCAAAATTACGTCTTTACATCAATTATATTTTTCGCAATAACAAAAAAGTGACGAAGTGGAAGTATTATTGGAAGATTTAGAACCATCCAGTATAAAAATCTAGGACCGTTGGAAAGTCTCTGAGAACTTTGAGACAAAACAGTATTATACATTTACCATAATCGTAATAAATCATGAAACATGACTTATCTACTAGCTTTTTCTAAAGGCAAAGAGTGGAAGGATGAATGAATTAAATTTAAGAAATGAAAAAAAAGTGCTACGATAAAATACCCAGGAACGTTTCGATTTGAATATAAAAGCTGTTGAAATTTGAGGAAAAAATTACATTCTCTAAAATATCTCTAAAGATGCTTGACATACCTAGAGTAATGAAATTTGAGTTAATGACCTTTACAGAATGTCCAGAAAGAATGTTACATACTTCAGTGGCAGGTTGTGAGGAACCAATGGAAAGGATTTAGCCACTTCCGATAAATTAACTCCCGTATAAAAATGTGTATACAATAGTGGCGTTTTTGTCACTTTGACAGCGATAAAAACTCCGGTTTCTCTACACTATACTTAGTAGGCGCACGTCAGTTTAAAATGTTTCCTGTCGTTACAATATTTAAGNCTCCTGTTTTTCTAAACTATAATTAGTAGGCGCACGTCAGTTTAAAATGTTTCCTGTCATTACAATATTAAGTTATAAAATATACATAATATGAATGGTTTTGAAAAAATTTCTACAGAACAAATTAGAAAAAACAGAAAAATCAATTCCACAATTTACCAAAATCACTAAATCGTCGATATGAAGACAATTTATGGAGTTTTGCAAATTTCGAAATTACGAACTGTCACAAATAACTCCATTAGAAAATATAGCTGATATGTTAAAGATTGGGTATATAATATGAAAAAGAAAATTAGGGAAGATTACAAAGAATATGCAATCAAAACAGTCTGGAAATCAACTGCAAAGATGATTCAAGAAAAATATTTCATTCAATATAGGTAACACTAAATTTGATACTTTTACGGACATAACATTTAAAGAAGCTCGTGATGCAAGAAATAGTAAGAGAAAGGAATTACAAGTTATTCCAGAAAAAAGAAAGGTTCTGTAGCAAATGACAAAGAAAATATACTAAGAATGGCAACTTTGTGGAATATAAATGAACCGGAAGGATTACAAAAAAGATTCTTTCATATAGCTTCTTATGAATTGATTTGGAGGGGAGGAGAGGCTACAAACAACTATAACTTTTTTGTGTAATTTAAATTTATGTAAAATTATGACATGAAAAATTAAAACTCGATCATTTTATTCTAGATCAAAAATAACCCAAACACATCGAATTTTGTTACCATTGGCCAAATAATAATGAAGTAAAAATAAATAAAAAATTAAAAATTTAACTTTGAACGACAATTACTTTTTTCAGGTAAATTTTTTATGTGAATAAAAGCGGCTATATCCTTTCTGTTTGTTCCCCAAAACTCGCCAATAAAGTAAGCAACACTCTTTTCTGGACAGCCTGTATAACTGAAAATAAACAACCGTTGGATCTGGATATAAATACCTGTATCATTGGTTGAAAAAGAGGGTGTTACTTAAAATTCAGGGTATTTTTTAATCGATCACTATTTGTGCAGTATTTCTGAAGTCAGTTAAACAT